ATTGGATCCCTCTGAGCTGCTGTTCCCAAAAGTTGCAGTACTTGGGCTCGCCGAAGACGCCATTGTACTGTGTAGGTTATCGTTCCTTTATTGTCCCTGTACCCGCAATAAACCAGCTGTCTCCCAGTCCAGTGTAGAGCTTGTAGTTACGGCTGATAACCTGTCAAGAGACGGCAAGGTGACGTCCCGTGGGACGCTATGCACCGAACCCTCAAGCTGTAATACCAACCACGTAGAAAGGTGTATACGGACGATGCCGTTATAGCCGAACCCGTGTAAACGTTGTAAGGGAGAAGGAATGATAGTTACAACAGTAGTCCTGACAAATGCAGCGCAAGCGAAGTGTTTTCGCTCTCAATGCCGATCACGTATGTATGCAGTCACACATCAGATCTTGAACCTCAATTGTGTCTTGAGCCAAATGGCGATCAATGGAACTTGGGAAGCAACACCAACAAGGACCTCAGAACAGCTACCCAATTTCGGCACGGGGCCTAGAGGGTTTTAACACTTTCACCGAAACCAGAAACTTCATATTTTCAGGAGACCGGCAAACTATTCTGAAGCACCTAAAGTTAGAAGCACAGCCCTAACATCGTTGAGGGAAAAAGTAAATTCATGAGTCTGCTTGGCGCCTACTTGCCTGCAAAGCACTACTGCGCCACCAAGCCACCTGCGCAATCGTCAGCAAGGCCCGAAGCAAACAGCCGTTGCTCGTACTCGGCTACAGTCGAGAGCTGCAAGGGTCGGTTCAATGGGTCAGCAATCAGATTCGGCTTGCCGTCTTCATCGAACCAGGGGATGTCAACGTACTCATTCTTTGGCTCCCCGAAAATCTCAAAGATGCGCTCAATCCTCAGGGCCCCCACGCATTCCTCGCCAAAGAGCTCCTCAATGGACTGAGCCTCCTTCGCGCTTTTAGACTTCTTGCCATCCCCCGCGCCAGGCTCAGAAACAGCCTTGAATCTCCTCTTTTTCTCGGTGTTGCGGGGGCTGGGCATTGCGCCAGCAGTGCCACCAGTGCTTCCTTCATCGCTGGCCTGAGGCGCAAGCTGCCTTGCAGACCGCTTTGACATGCTTTGCAAGCCACGCCCACACGTGGCGGAAAGGTGAAGGTTGCCGGTTTGCCAAAAAAGTTGAAAGGGTGCCAGGCCCAAGTGACGAGCCAAGCAAACTCTGACGAACTTGTGGGCTCGCCTCGAGCCGAGTCTGGCAGAATCCATGCAACTCTCAAAGTCTGCAGTTGCACAACGTCTACACGGAGTCTACACGGTGTCCCGTACCACATGGTCGACTTCAACCAAATCGCGAATGAGCGACAAGCCAAAACACTGATGAAAAGTATCTAACAACAATGAACAATCTTCCCGCCCGCCCGAAAACAGAACCGGATATCTGCGCAGTCACAAGCGCAACTAGTCACCCCAAAAAGCATGCGGCACGAAGAGTCACGGGTGGCGAATGTCAAAACAAAGCTCAAGCTGTAAAGCGAACCTCTCAGCTCAACACCGGGGTCAGCCAGCGCCCGAGGCCCCAGCCACAATCTCAGGATCTGCCGAACTGGACTTCCAGCGTTGCGCCTGTCACGGAAGGGCGCCACACAAACCCAAACCTGCTAACCTGCGCTAACATGCCAAAAACCCAACATCCGAACGGCCGCCTTTTCCCCGACAATCAGACCATAAGACCATAGGGCCTTTGGGCGCAGTGCAAAAATATCAGTTTTCAGTCTTCAGTTCACCCGGCCCCATTTTTTCTCGACGCTTCACCTTTCAGCCTTGGGCGGGCCAATCTGTCCAGTGGAAAATGAGCCCTGCAATCCGAAGTTGCTGAGACATGATGAGTTGCGTTGCTGAGTTGAGTTGCACAAAGGAAGCCGGCCTGCCTACGCAGCGGCTCCGAAATATAGCACATCATTTGCAGCATCTGATAGCCCGCGCCACTGAAGCAAACAACTCGACAAAATAACGAAGGGGTAGTCTGAGTTTGCATCGGTCTGGTAACAACGGTAACAGGCCAAGTGTTCTAACAAGTCGTGGACTTTCAGGTGGCGACAACTGCCGATTGCTGCGCTGCTTCGGCAGTTCAACCTGCCCAAAGCAGCGCCAAAAGTCGCGCCGAAGCAAGAGCGCAGCAGCAACGCAAGCCAGCGAGTCAGTGAGTCAGCGATGACTTAACTTTACAGCGTCATTGACTGGGGAAACGCAAGAAATTCACGAATGTTGAAAGTCTGGATTGCAAAGCTGGCATCATGACTCATGACTGCTGCTCCATCCCACATAGCAGTCACATAGCAAGGTCTGGCTGGCTTTGGGCACCGCCGGTTGCGCATCGCAATTCCAAAACATGTGCGGGAAAAGCACGTAGGCTCGCTCACCTCAGACTCGTCAACGGCGAAGGGGCGAAGGGGCGCTTTTCCCGCGCTTCCGCTTTTTCGGGCCTTCTGGCGCACGAAGAGACGCTACTGCCCGAGCTGCCTCTGCCGCTGCAGCCAAGTGTTCTTGTTGAGCAACATGGGCCGCGTGTTGCTGCTGCATGCAGGCATCCCGGAACAGAGACACCTCCGCCACAATCCTGCGGGAAGGAAGGCTATTGGTGGCCCAAACTGCAACGCTATTGCGCAACTCAGAAATGTAAGAAGTTGCACTTGTTCGCAACTCACCCTCAAATCCGGTGATAACTTAACAGCTTGCTTGCTTGCTTGCTTGCTTGCTTGCTTGCTTGCTTGCTTGCTTGCTTGCTTGCTGGCTCGCTCGCTCGGTCGCTCGCTCGCTCGCTCGCTCGCTCGCTCGCTTGCTTGCTTGCTTGCTTGCTTGCTTGCTTGCTTCTAGTTACCCAGGCGGCAGAAAGAACCATTGCACCGTAACATCAACATCACGACCAATTTTCAACACAGCAGAGAGCCAAGTGACAAGGGCTAGCAAGCAAGCAAGCAAGCAAGCAAGCAAGCAAGCAAGCAGGCAGGCAGGCAGGCAGGCAGGCAGGCAGGCAGGCAGGCAGGCAGCAGTCAAGCAGGCAAGCTGGAAGGCTGGGTTCGCGTTCTAAGCTGGCCAAACAACAAGCTTCAAATCTTAGTTAGCAGGGGCAGGGTCCTCAGGCCTCATCAGGATGCAGTTGAAACTGAAATGAGGGCCCGCGGCTCAACCTAATTGCCAATCAACTATCAACACAGGTTTGTGTGGAGGACCGAACCCCCGCCCCCCTCCTTCAAGACTCGTCACCGTCACCCATTCAAAAAGCGTGTGAAAACAAGCGCGCAACAGCTACAACAATAGCAAGACTGGGAAGCGTTCGGCAAGTTTGCAAAAGCACAAGCTCAAGAAGTCAAGGGCTTCCAACTCGTCCTGTCAGTAGCTGCCGCTGCTCGCCAGCAAGCTGCAGAATGCAGCACGCAAATGTAGGGGCAAATCACGTTCATGCTGTTGCCTGCTTGGGAGCAAGCCTGCCGCGGTTTTCGGGCTTCGCGAGGGAAATTGAAGCAGCTGATTCGGAAATCAGCGTGCAGGCCAGGGTGGACCGGGAAGCACTGCGACAACAAGCATTCAGTTGCAAAGAGCCACCGCGACGCTGCCCGCTGATTGCCAGGGAAGTTGACCGGGCAAATGTACGGGTCGACGCTCAAGACATCATCGACCCAGATCCTTACAGTAAGGGAGGCCTCCTCTGACACCCCGGTGAATCAAGTGACCCAAGTGCGCTTAAACTCTGTCGGTTTGCTTTTTTGTGCGAGTGTTATCTCAATTGGTCTCAAATTGTCTCCATCAAGCCCATCAAGTTCACATCAGGACGCAGGACAAGACACCTCTACAGCCTCTACGACTGAGTTAGGCGCAGTTAAGCGCCAACAAGCCTCATCTTGACTTACTTGCCAAAGAGGAAAAGCGCAACTGCAACTCCCAGCACGCAGAACGCAGGACGCACGGCCGCGCAGCCAAAGAATCCAAAGAACAAAGAACTGCAAAAAAACACAGGCGATTGTCAACTTGGCAACTTGGAAAGAACAATATTCTGAACACTGAACACTGCAATCTTAACGCCGATCAGAATCAACCCAAGGTTGTGGATCAAGGTGTGCAACCACAAGTCCGTAGACCGCATCCCGTGGCCCTTTGCTGGGTTCTGGTTCAATTGCCATGCCTGTGCTGGAAAACGCTCCGAGTATTTTGATCTCATCTCAACCTCAGTGACATTCAGGGCCGCGAGGAAAGGCTGCTTAGCCGGACCGCCCGCGCTGACAATCGCATCCTGCGCGACGGACTGACAGATATAAGGCTGGAATTCGCTACTAGTAACTAGTAGATTGTTTTTTCTGCGACAACGCGCAGGGGTGCAAGACCCCAACGCAAGATCCATTGACAAATGACACAAAGTAATTACCCCCCAGCACTGCACTAAGTACCCCTACACTCTTGACCTGCCCAACACTTCAACACGTCTGACAAATTTCCCGGTTTTCCAGTCATGCGTCAATCAATTTGTCAATCAACCAAGACAGCAACTGGATGTTGAGTCATGTTGAGTGTAGCAGCTGCCACACTGTCAGTAGAGTCAATGAATCTGCCTTTTGGCCGTGCAAAGCAACTGCGGAGGCTCGCCTTGGCAGCAGAAACCCTGTCCACGCCATAGTGCTTGATGATCGTGTCCAAGGCAGAGGCAGCGGCCTCCTTTTCGTCACCAAACGCGTGGGTCATGCTCAAAGAGCGCGAGGAGGCCCATTGAAGTTCACGCTCGTACTCGTTCTGCAAGACGCCATCCTTGAACATATGCTGAAACAGCAACTCCCGCCATGACCACATAGCAGCTCGCTGGAACCGTTGTTGGAACCGCGCAAGTGGGGAGACCTCTTGCACGGCAACGGCTCGATGCCGGAGCCGATGGTACTTTCGCACTCTGGCGCATGGCATCCTGGCGGTGGGGTTCTTGCTGCGAGCAACGGAGCTGAGCAACTGGCAAAAAGAAAAGGGAGCCTAGCCTAGGAGTTGCAACCGGCAGTTTGCAATTCATCGCAATGAGGCTATGATGAGGCTTTGCCTCGCTTGAGAAGAAAAAAGGTCTTGCAAAAACTGCTTTGCTGTGCTGCCCAAGTTCCCAAACATTCTTGGATCCATGACCTGCGACTCTATCACGTAGTACTTGCCCAGGAGCCGCTCCAGAATGTGAGATGGGAAGCTCTCAACGTTCTCCAAACTTATTTCATACTCCTGCACCTCCAGCCTCAGTCCGATCCACGCTAAAAGGTGAAGCACATTGGGGTCTGCCAGCCCCAACTGCTTCCCTTGTTTGCTGTGGGCAGTGCAACTGCTTCCTGCCGTGTGCATTCTTGCTGTGCCAATGAAGCATAGCTTGCTGTGGCGCGCGCAGTGCGCCTTCCTCCGCATGGCGCTTTGGGCAGCCAAGAGCGGGCTGAGAACTTCCACAGCCATCGACGGCTTCTTCTTCAACTCTTCAAGCACTTCGTAGAGCTCTGGGCGGAAAAACTGGGCAATGTCAGTGAAAATGCACGTGTTCTGCTCGATGCCGCAAGCAAGCGTCTCCAACTCAGCTTGGCATTCTGTGTTCCATTCGCAAAAGCTCAGCAACTTGGGGAGCGCCACCTGCAGGAAGAACAACCAGGCCACACCACAAGCAAAAGCTCGGGGTTTAAACCGCTTCGAGCCGACATTAGAAAGCTTTTTCCGGCTTTTCCCGCAGAAAGAAAGCCGTGGACTCAACATTGAACATGAGCACAGCGAACACCTGAACGCTGCACCATGTGCAATCCAGGGTCCAGGGTTGGGCCTACAGCCTACAGCAACTAGAAGGATGCTCGGCTGATAACTGAAAAACAGGTAGCATTTGAAATTGGACACGTGAGAATCATGAGGGCAAATTGCAATTGGATAGCGTTTTCGGTTGGAAACGAGCTCTCTGCGAATGGTCTTGCAGTCGCTTAGCATCTCTTGGGTCAGGGTCAGCCCCCAGCCCACGGCAGTGCCTTTCGCTTAGGCAAGCGGGCTTGAAGCGCGTGATGAAAACCTAAAAGCGCAGTCTCGGGCGCCGCAATTCCTGAAAAAGCAGAGCTGTGCGTTGCGTCTTCCAGCCAGTCGGCCAATGAATCTAGAGAGCAGCGAGCTGGGTCATATCTCCTACCAGGGCTTGAAGACGGAAGTTCATCTTCTGAAGCGGCCACCACTTCATCCAGAAAGGATTCGTAGAACAGCACCGCCTCTTTCAAAGATCGTGTTGCCTTTTCGTTGCCGGCGCCTTGGAATTCGCATCTGGTCAGCCCCATATCCCGGGCTGCAGCAGCCAGCTCCTCGTCGCCAAACTTCCCTTCTTCACCTTCCACATCCACAGCAGCTGCTAGCTCAGCCACTTTGGCGCCTTCTGGGCCTTGCGCTGCACGATCTGCGCGGCTGGGCACCGGTGCCGGATCTGGCTGCTTCGACTTTGGCTGCGTGAAAGCGCTCAACTTGGTTTGGCGTTGCGCTGCCGGAAGCTGCGGCTTTCCTGCGTTCACTGGAGACTGAAGGGGCGCACAAGCATAACACCAAACGCTCAAGACACGAACGCTGGAAAGACAACCTGCGCCCTGCACTGTTCTGCCACTGTCTGCTATTTAACCTGCTCTACGACTCTACCTCTACAGCCCTACGGCTCTGCTGCACTACGTACTACCTTGTTGCTTCGATCCCGTATATACCGGTCCAGCATCTTCACTCATGACTCATGCCACTAAATCTGTCACCTGGTCTTTCAATCCAGCAGCTCGTTGGCCTGTGAAAACTGTGAAAGCCTCTCAAGTTTGTCCCCCTACCGGACATTACCAGATGCATTCTAGCAAAAAGCACTGCACATGCTACACGCTGCGCGTCGCAACTGCCAAAATACCACTCAGACTCAGCACGATAGTAGAACTTCAAGAACATTCAAAAACGAAGAGTAGTGGAAAAGCAATGAGCTATGAAGCGCAACTCCAAACTGAGCGTCACAACGGTCACAGCTGCGTGGGACAATGTGCGCAACACAGCACGGCAACACGGTTTCGCCCAAGCTTCGCGCCCGTGCTCCTGCGTTCTGCGATTGGCTCACCCGGCTTTCCCGCAACTCCTGAAGCAACTCCTCCGCCAGTTGAGCAGCAACGTCAACGTCGTTGCTGCCCGCAATGGCAGTCTCTGCGGACTTGGCCGAGGCCGCCAATGGGATGAGATCATCCTTGTTCTCGAAAGTGTCTTCCCAACGAAACTTGTACCAAATCTCCTCTGGCAAATCTGGAGAAATCTGAAAAGTAACAAGAAACAGGCATTGTTGGATTATTTAGAAGAAGGGTTTCAGCTTACGGCGTTGGTTCGTTGGGTTTACAAATGTTGGCTAGCAGTTGCACATGTTGCAAGTTGAAAGCGCCAGTCCCTGTCAACCTACGACCGCCCGCCAACCAAGTCCCGCTAACCAAGTCCTGCGACGACAAGGGCAAATACCGAGGGGGCTGCAGCTGACTCCGAAGGCGTATCTTCCAAGCAATGCATCCACCTGCGTCTTTCTTCCAATTAGCTCGCATGGCCGCATAGTCTTGTGGATGGACGAGGTGGTAGTCAAAGAACTTATCAAACGTCGCATGTTGCACAAAAGTGTTCCCTTCGAACACAGCTATTCCCGCAACTTGGCAACAACACTGCCCGAAAGAATTTCTCCTCTCCTCTTTCGGAAGAATCCGCAGCAAATAGAACTCTGCCGCGAGTTCCGAATCTCCCAAGTCTTCTGCCCTGCCAAGATTTTGTCCATTGGCCCCGACCGGATGAGCAATCCCCGCAATGGCGGACGCACCACGCTGGAGCTTGTCGATGGGTGCCTTTGGCGATGCGCAAGGCAAGCGTGCAGAACCACTGACTCAATTGCCAAGAGTATTTGAGGTAGCATGTTGAGCATTCTGTTCAAGTTACCGGAAAAAGTCAGCCACTTTAACAGCGCCACCACAAGGATCATGAAGTTGTCAGAAAGGCCACCCAATGGTCACCAAGTTGCCCAAGGTGTTGCTACGCGTTGTTAAGAATCAGATTACTCTCTCGCAACAAAGGTCGTTCCTGCACAAAACAGTTGCGCAAGTTGCGCTCAGCAAAGGAAAAAAAGGCAAAACATTGGGGCCACCCCATTCACCCGAATGGCAGGGGGGAACCCCCCCTATTCAGGGCAGGACCCCCGATTCGGACCCTCGAATCGGGGGGGGGGGGGGTGTAAAGGGGGGGGTGCGCCAGGAAAGGAGCAAAGCAAAAGAAAAGGGTGGGAATCATGAAGAAAGGTGAAGAAAGCGTTGAAACCTCACACTTTGCGCGCGCGCTTCGGGCAGCAAAGCGCAGATTTGTTTTGCTTGCAGCATTTGCAGCTGCGTGTTTAATCATCAAAAACACAGCAACACCAGCAGCACCCCCACCACGCCGCAGCAACACCAGCAAAACCACTCTGGGCAGTCGTTTGTTCGCGCGAAAGCCTTGCCTCGATTCCTGGTGGTAGTCATAGTAGTCACGTGTGTTGTTTCAGGCGACGCTGTCAACGCACTGGCTTCTGCTCTCGCCTCCCCGCCCCCTGCCCCCTCCGCGCAACAACTGTAAGAATTTGCGTGCTCAAAAGGCAACCTATTGTTCACCGGATTGCTCGTTGAGTTGAAAAATTGGCGGGCGGAGTGGAGTGTTCCGCATTTCGGGGCATGCACAAATGCAAGCCCTGTCTCACATTGAATATCGTCTATGAGCCTACTTCCTTGCAAGCCTTCCCCCTTGCGCGCGGCCCGCAAAGTAACAAACCAAGGCTGACTCAAGTCCTGAAAGCAACAACATCTCATTCAGCCCAACCACTGCCCCAATAACTTGAAAACGCAACAACCCCAAACCACCCCCCCTCTTCCCGCAACAGTCCTTTCCCCAAAGTCACCAGCCCCAGGCACCGTTTGAACATAAAACCGGGGCTCCAACAAGACAGTGACTTGATTTATCCCTCCGCCCTTGTCCCTGTCACAATGACCCACAAGAATTTCTCGTTTCTGGCATGTTCCAAGCATCCTGCGTTGCACATCTTGCCTACCGCGCATTCAATCACAAGCAAGCTGTGCGTATAAGGCAAGGTGCTGCAAGCCTTCAGCGGGCTCCACGGCCGTCATGGCGCCAACGGTTGCGCAGAGCCGCCGATCGCCAATCGAATTGGCACTTGGTTGCATTGCGGACACAAAAGTTAAGACAGGTTGTCCGGTTGTCCCAAGCAGTGTTTCAGCTTCGGCGCCCGCGCGCTGCGCCTGTTGCAAGAGCCAAAACAAGCCCAGCGGTGCACGCGATGCTTCAAGGGGCCCGCAAGTCTTACAAGTGTTACAAGTGTCTTACAAGGGCCTCAACTTCTCAAGCCGAGCAAAACGGGGCAAACACCCAGGCTCCCGGCCTTCAAGCTGGCCGTGGCCACCATCGTCCGGTGGCGAACTCGCTTGGGAGCCTGGGGCTGGTTGGGAGGCGCAGCAAGTAATCAAACTGAAATCTGCAATCTGCTCACAAAAAACTCTCTCTCTCTCTCTCTCTCTCTCTCTCTCTCTCGCTCTCTCTTACAGTGAAAGCCAAGCCTGGCCTCCAACTCCACGGTATTCTTCTTGTGTAGCGCTGAACACCTCCTGCCATAGGTGTCTTTCTGTCCAGCAATTAAGCAGCCTTTCCAAACAACCGAGCACCTGCTATCAAGGGGCGGGTCTTGGGGGTGGAACTTGAAATTGAACAATTCTTGGCAACTTGTTCCGAACAAGAAGGTGTGGTGAAGTCACACGGCGACTCAGGTACGTCGGACACGCTCGCGCACTCGGTCGCATTGATCAGGCAAAAAGCGCTCTTCAAAAAGAGGGACACACTTCCCGTTGCGGAACCCAACAAGACAAGTCTTTTGAGTTCACTTGCAACTAGGAACTCTCCCTGGGACGAGCGGACAAACTAGCCTGTAGTGGGACTCAAGTATATTGTAAAAAAACTATCAAAGACCGCACGAGCTAGGACCACCCAAGCCAGCACGAGTCCCAAGCCTCGCCACGCACTTGTTGGCGATGTTGGTGGCTCACGCTGGCAAGCCGCGCCTCAGGTCACAAGCAAGCGGCGGCAGCGTTGACTGACGACAAAAGTTGCAGTTGCAGCTGCACTTTTGCACCAACCTCAAGGCAACTCAATGAAGAGCAGCGCGTTAGCCACATTCACATAGGCAACAAAAACTGAACAACAACATTGGCGTGCGCAATCACAAACTCACAGCTCTTGTCGCGCCAGCATTCTTGTCAGACTCGCCGTGCAGACGCAAGGCACGCTGCTAAGCCATGCAACAACCCACATCATGGCCCGCGCGCGCAAGCGCGACTATTGACTTGTTGACGCTACTGTCATTGGGCAAAAAGGCTCTGGTCCAGACCAGAGCGGCTCTGGTCATCTGGTCATGCCTGAACTTTCTCGTCCCAAATTTGCAAAAGGAGGACACTTGAAACAACCTTCGTCAGCTCTAACAAACAAGCGACACGATCAACACAAACAAACTCCCTTGTCCCTTGACCTGACCCAAGCTTTCTAGCTCACACTCAAAAGCGAGCCCTGTCAACGCGCGCACTGCTGTACAAGCGCGCAATGTCAGAGCAAGTTTGAGCAAATGGCAACAAATCATTGGACTGGTCAAGTTGGTCAAGTTGATCTGCGCTTCTTCAGTGGCCGCGCCGCCGAACTGCCAGCCACCAACTCAAGGCTGTCCCCCTCTTCACACTCACAGTCAACCTCGACATCCAGCGCGGCAATGTTGGTGTTGGCATGGTGGCTGCGGCTGGCGTCTTGGCCAGGGTAGTGGTGATGATGATGGATGTGGAGGTGGAAATGGGTTGAGTGGCTGTGGCTACTGAAGTTCGAGTTGTGTGAATTGTGAGTGGTGTTGAAGTGGAAGTTGTCGCTCGTAAATCGCTGATAGTATTTGTGGTAGTAGTGGTGGTGGTGGTGGTAGTGGCAAACTGCAGAGGTTGGCGGCGAGTCAAGGATGGCGCCACACGGGCCACGATGTGGCGCAGGCGCAGGAGCATCGTCTGAACCTTCATCTTCTTCGCCAGTGACTGTGTCTTCGCTTGGGCCACTAGGAGAAGCCAAAGACTCCGGCAAGCTGAAGTGGTTCCGGTGTACAAGAAACGTCTTGTCTGTCACCTTTGTCCAACCTGAGTCACATCTGACAGAACCCTGTGAGGCCTGTGAGTCGTCCTCCTCTGGGCGACGAGCAGGCTCTGGCTCAGAAGCGCCAGCTGCAAAGTTGGTGTCTTGGGACAAGGAGTTCCAGGGTGACCCTGACTCTGCAGAATCCGGACAGCTCGTGGCGGGCATGTTGCCGAAATTGAAGAAATGAGGACACTGGCTTGACCAAAAACTTTGCGGCGAGGCATTGTAAAAATTGACGCGACCCTGTCTCTCGTTCAAAGAGGCACCAGGGGGAGCTACGGATGTTTGGGGGGATCTGGAAGAAGCACTCAAGCGGTGAGATCCCCAAGGGCGCTGACCAGCAGTTCAAGCTCACGCCGGAGGAGCTCCTGGCCCTGGAGCGCAGGACTCACCCACTCACGTGCGAGCAGGACCACATCAACCCAGTCATCTACACAGCCTTGGAGATCCAAGCGCAGGTGAACCGGGGCGAGCGCCCGGCGCCGGAGCAGGTGGTGGGGATCTTCTGGGCAAAAGGTGATGGGGT